TTATTGATATATATTTTGTAATTATAATATTATTGTATTTACATTCTCAATTAATTTATATATTGAGCTGAAAAGCCCACTTAGGGAGCATCAATAAAGTATATGTATGTATGTATGTAGGTATTATTGTACATTGCCTTGATCAATATTCTGCAATAGCATATTAGTACAATTATACACAATACCAGTGAAGTAGCAATTAATATACAAATAAAGAACCCACAATTTATTTGAGGAAGTTTTGCAAAAAGTTGTGTTCAAATGCCCCACCCAATTTTTTTGTCAGCCACCCTGACTTTCTACACATTGACCAAGCTTTAAAACGTAGACCTTTACTCTGAGCCATTTGCTTGCAAAACTGAACTATTTCCCTTAAAAACCTCCATATTTAGTTTAGCTGGGTAATAACATGATTGCAATTGCATTTTGGTGTCAATAAGGATGAGTAGATTTTTCAAAGACACCAAAATTCCACATGCCTGTAGAGCGTGTGCAATTTGTGGTCTTTGAAATAAATACAAGTGTTTACTTACACCAAATTGCATTTGTAATATGTTACAGAGTAAATTTTTAATGACAACAAAATGGGCAAATGCAATTTGGAGTCTTTGAAAAAAAATATTTTAAGAAAATTTAAAAGCGCCTATTTACACCAAATTACGATTGAAATCAACTCATCACTATTAATAATTTACATGACAAAGGATCACAGAAAGTCAAGACAGCACACATGTTAAAAATGTCAACCAAAAAATGTTTGATAGATGTGGTCCCTTATTGACAGACCCTGTTGTGGTCCATGGTAGGGATCCACATCTGCCAGCTCTTCTACCGCTTCATCTTCCATAGGCTCGTGTAACAGCAAAGCGATGTTGTGCAACACTGCACAAGCCCCCACAATCATGCAAACTTTTTCAGGTGCCATTCTAATTTCTGCATGCAACACATGAAATCGCCTTTTCCATCAGCCAAACGTTTGCTCAATCACCACTCTCGTTTTTGTGTGTGCACTATTGTAGGCTTCTGGGGATGGAGTTCTTGTTGTTGCAAACAGTGTCATTAAGAATGGACTGCAGGCGTTACCCACTGTCCCCGAGAAGAACGCCATCATCAAGGGAGCGATGGTTATTTTGCAAATAACTGCAAATGTTACTGGTCCGAAAGACATGGCTATTGTGAGTACTTCCTGGCCAGCAGGCAACAACATTGGTAAACATGCCTTCAAATCAGATAATATTTTTGTTGAGGTTAAAGCTCGATCCTCCTCAAATGTTTTGGTTTGTGTATGAATTTTATCTTAGATGTCTACATTTTTATTTTCTTTGAGAAGTTTTGCTATAGCGAAAAGTCTACTCACCTTCATGGTTGCAGACAGCTTGTACATTGATGGAATGAAAACCTTTTCTGTTGACATAGTTGTTTTCATTCTGTGTAGGTGCTTGTAATCTCACGTGAGTTCCGTCCACACATCCAACAACGCCAGGAAATCCTCCGCGAATATAAAATTCGTTTTTAATTTTTGCACATTCATCATGTGTCAAAGGCCACTTGATAAAGCGGGGCTGTTTTGCCGCTAGAGCTCGAGACATCAGTAATGGCACGGGAAACGGTGGACTTATCCACACCGAAGGTGTCACCTATAACTTGAAGGAAACCTCCACTGGCATAAAACCGGAGGGCAATTAAAACTTGGTGGAGCGGTGATAAGGCGTGATTTCCTCGAGTGTTGCGAGTTATATCACCGGCAACAAGATTTGTAATAAATAAAATGCACTCTCTTTTAAAGCGATAACGTGCACGCAGCTCTTCGTCTGTGAAATCGTCGATTTCGAATTGAGTGCCGGTTCTGAATTTCCTTGCCCTTCGCCGACGACGTAAATCACAAAACAACAAGTTCGCCATTTTTATTCTTTATTTAACCGGAGGTTAGCTATTTAACCCTGCTCGCGCTGTGGGTTAAATTTAACTCGCTGTTTAACCCGAGGTTAGTGTAAACCTTCTTTCGAACACCACGACTAAAAATTTTACCCTGAGGTTAGGTTGACTTAACCCTAGGTTAAGACTTAACCCTCTTTTGAACAACCCGGCCCTGAGATATAATTACTAACTAGGCTTGCACCATGTTAATCAAACACCTGTTGATGCATTTAATGGCAATCAAAACCAATGAAGTTAAATATATTCATTCATTCTCTAAAAGGGAAATTCTCAAGCAAAGAAATGACTATGACTGTGGGAAGTTCATCTGTATGGTGAGAAAAAGCCATTAAAATTCTTTACATATTGTCATCATGCACTATAAGTAGGCAATGTGCACCTGCATTCATGGTTGCCACAGCCATAGGTGTTTGAAATTCCCTGACTTTTCCCTGACTTTTCCCTGACAAATGTAAAATTTCCCTGACCAACTGAATTAACAATTTCACAAATTAGTCCTGATAATGGCCTCCAACCTCCCCTCACAGCCATCCTCTCCACCCATTTATTAATGCTTTCAGCAAGACACACACAGTGTACATGAATTGATAGTTCCTTAACGTAACATGGAAAAAGGATTGATTTTCTTGGAAACCTAACATCAGCTTGTCATTCAATTTAATGAAACAATATCCTACTAATCCAACATGTGTCATTTCCTTGAAATGTACCAAAGAATTTGAAATGTTAGAAAACAATGAAAACAGAGGAAAAAGAAAGTGTGTGATTTCATTCACAAGCCAACTTTCTTGCATTACAAGGGGAAACGATATGCTTATCAGGAATTTATCAACTGTACTAAACAATATACATGAGTAACAGCAACATCACAGAAAGTTAAATGTTAGCATCTTTCATCACGAAGAGGCCAAGACAAGATGAATGACAGCTTGCATTCTTGACCATACAAAAACACCACTGAGACGGCAGTAAATAAATTAGTACTCTTAAAATTTCACTTTTCCCTGACTTCTTTCAAAGATGTAAATTTTCCCTGACTCAAAGTGAAATTCCCTGACTTTTCCCTGACCTTGAAGAATTTTTTTTTCCCTGACTATTTCCTGACCTGTGGCAACCATGTGCATTTAGATATTTCTCTCATAAATAGCTAGTTATCATATGATGAGTTATCTCTTAAATAAGTTGTATTAGTCACATTTTTTTATAATTATTACAAGGCTGGTAGTTGTTGTCAGTACTATTTTAAACTTTCTATTAAATTATTTAGAAAACAATACAATAATGTAATGCCATGATTAAAGTTTAGTTGTACTTAGCTGATAAAAGCAACAATTTTCAATGTTAGTTGGCAAAGCACTTAAGCCAAGGGGAATTTCCTCATTTTAATCAGGTGAATACAAAAAGGGTTCTCATTATAAATAACCATAGTTATTGTACATATACTATTTATTTACCATTTTTATTCCTAATAAATTATATAACATTAAATATTTACAAAGATTACATGGTTAATAATATGTAAGAAAGGGAACACTGAACTTAATTAGAATGATATGCCACTCCTGAGAAGAACACTTGAGAAGCAATTGCTGCAAACTGTTCTGAGATGGGTCTTATACAAGACAAGCAAGACAAGCAAAAACTTCTAATCTTCACCATCATGTACTATGCAGTCAAGGATAATGAGTTTGTCATTTTAGAAATACAAAAAAGGTCTAAATGCAGTATTTCACCCTCTCACCTCCAAGATCTGAAAGTTCATTCTCTGCACTTATACCATACATTTTCTGTGGTGACTAGTCCTGAGAAATTTGGAGTTATATCAAGCCCACCTTGTTGATAATTTCTTCAATCTTGTTACCTGTCTACTTTAAAAAATGTAAGAATAATTTACATCCCAATCACTCATAGGAGTAAAAAACCTAAAGATTTGCCTCCAATTTCTATGATGCATTATCTGTTAGCATAGCATTGTTACTGACACTTTTCCCTACCATGAAAAGTTTGAATGATAATTTTATGACAAGTATCAGCAGTGGAGAGCATACTCTATTTAATGGATAAATTTGGAGTTTGGGATGAGTTCATGCATGAGTTGTCAATGGGTGTTGTTGACTTCCCTGTTATATCCTATTTAATAAAACGATATCAATCTGATCTTAATAAGCAAGTTTAAATTTCTATCATGCCTGGTTTGGTACCTGGGGCTCAGTATTCCTTCAAAGAGTTACTGACTGACAAAGTGAGAGACATGGTAAGTACTCATTACTGGACTGGTTTCAACTAATTTTGATACCATTCACTTATTGACATACATTAATTCCTTACTGGGAAATCTTATTGTTGTAACATTTACTTTACCCTAAGCAAATACAAGAAAAGGTTGAGAAAACTCATGCTCTTTTCCTGCCTTAGTTGATAACAACAAATAACATTGGTTCCCTAGCCTGTAGAATTGAGCACGAGTCAAATAAGGTACCCAATATTAATTTCTAATCACAGGAAAAAAAAAAGTGTAAGAACAAAAATGATCACAAAAATAAGGTACTTAATGGCTGGAGACAATAATATTCATTTAATAATGTGCAAAATAAATTTTAAAAGACCATTTTTTTAAAAATGTAAGTTGTATATTATGACATCCTTGTTGATATACTTGTAAGTTCTAATAATGTCATGTAATGTGAAATATGTATCAACATCAAAACTGCATTGTGAGCTTTTAATTAATTAGACAGGCAAATAAAAATAGTTATAAGAACCAAAGGAGGCTCAATTTTAATTACACATACAAAAAGGAACATTAACCCTTTCACTCCCACAAGTGACCAAGACAGAATTTCTCCTTACAATGTCAATACAATTTCAAGCAGGCAGGTGATGAGAATAGATAAGAATATCAATCATGGGATTTTTAGTTGATCCAATACCAAATTCTCTGAACTAACATCATAAGAGCTACATGGCTGATAGTAAGGAGAGTTACTAATTAGATCTTAGGAGTGAAAGGGTTAAAGGATGGAGAAACAGTGAAAGTTAAATTAAGTGGTGATGGGGCATGTATGAGCAGGATGACTAATTTTATACTTCTGAGTTTCACCATTCTTCAGAAAGTGGATGATATTTTGTCATCAAAAGGTTAGTAAGGTGTAAAAACATATGTAACTGGTTATATTGAAGAGGTGTCAGTTTAATACATACATCTTTAATTTATAACCCTTTACAGGAAATCCCAAGAGCTGCCAGACTGTTATCGCGAGAGCTGCCAGACTTTGGAGGAATAATTAAGAGATGCATTTTTAGAAGCAAATAAGATCATTGATGATGGTTTCATTGAAATTGATGTCAAAAAAGTTGGAGTAGACATTTACCTGGGAGGTGATTACAAAGTGAGCTAATGCAATATTTGCTACCATTTAATTACAAAATTTGTGGCCATTTTTACTGACAGGAAATGTTAAGTTAAAAGACATTAATGAAAACAAGGAAGAAATCATATCAATAATTGCACAATGAAAATAAAATATCATTACAAAAAATGTAACAGTAATGGGGTTCATAACTTCATGTTGATGATACATTAATGTATTCAAACAGCAATGTTAGATTTTTCCCCTTGCAGTTTCTGCTGCAGGGGCTAAGAGCAGCCAACTCAACCTACCCATGCTTCTAGAAGGTCTTTTTGAGGCTAGAATCATTTCTGGTCCGAGTTATATCAAGTCTTCTTGTTTGGGTGTAAATCTGCCAATTTGTCTGTAATGGTGACCTGTAGAAAATTGATCATAACAGTCCAACTGTTGAACTTGACCCACACAACTGATTCGTTGCTGTTATCAAACAATGTTTCTACAAATCCTGGGCCAATAGAGAGGGGTAACCTGCTGTATTCATCAAAAGATTCAAGTTTTCCTTTGACTGAATCCGACGAACTGGTTTGCTTACTCACTGGACCTTTTAACGAGTCAGCTTCCTCCAGTGACTCTGTAGACGAAATTCTACACAGTAATTTTGACCTAGGGCTATAAAGAAAGGGTATTCAAATCACGCATTGAAATGTTAATCATCTGACTTTGGATAAATTTGGCCAGGTAAAACTGTTTCTTTTGGGAAGACTTTGTAAACCTCAGTTGGATGTTTCGCTTTTAAATGACACATTTCTGAAGTTGAACATGCCGGATACTCTCTTTCAGGTGCTTGGTTATTCTATCTACCGTAGAGACAGGGTAAACAAATCTGGCAGTGGTGTCATGGCTTATATAAATAATAACCTTAATGTTTTACATAGAACTGATCTGGAAAATCAAGATGTTGAACTCGTTTGGCTCGAAGTTTGTCCTTTCAAATTGAAACCATCTTTACTGATTGGTAGTATTAACTGCCCTCTCTCATACACCAAAGCTGATGATTTATCTCAGGAGGCAAATATGGAATGTGTGTATTTGCTGAATGAGGAGACAATATTTTTAGGCAATGTGAATATTGATGGAAGAAATAACAAGAGCTTTGATAAAAATGGGTCAATTAAAGTGGTTCACAGCATGAATTTCACACACCTAGTTAATGAGGTGACTCGTCCTGTTAATGGTACTTGTTTGGATCACATCTATTCGAATCATCCTCAGCGAACATTGAATATATCAACTCTCAACTGTGGCCTCTCTGATCACATAGCAATTTTTGCTGTATGCAAATATAACAATCAGCACGCACCTTGGAGCATGCAAAAAAATCAGAATATTCAATATCGTACCATGAAGCAATTTGACGAGAACCAATTCAAAGAAGCACTGAGTCAGGTCGCTTGGGATACAGTATTCGTATTTGATAAGATTGATGATATGCTAGACTCTTGGGAGTCAATTTTCAATATTGTACTTAATGAAAATTGCACTGGCACGAAAAGCATGTAAGGCACACTGTCCAAGCTCCTTGAATGATCAGCTTTGTCTTGAAACAGCTACACCTGACAGATAATTGCCTAAAAACTGCAAGGTGTTCCAATAATGCTGATGACTGGTCTAATTACAGAGCAGCAAGAGATAAAGTAGTTGCAATGATTAGGAGTGCTAAAGGAAAATTTGTCAATGCCTTCAAGGAAAATAAAGGCAATTCAAGAGGAATATGGAAGACAATAAGAACACTGACTGGCTCAGGAAAGAACAGGCATGATATTAACAGTATTAATATTGGGGAAGATGTTAGAGATGACTGAAAGCTAATGGCACAACATTTTAACACTCATTATTCCAGTATAGCAGACAGACTAAAATTTGCATTACTGCGAGTTCCATCAAACTCTCAAAGCTGCAAGACTTTGTCACATCCAGAAAAAGTCCTGATACATCTTATGTCATTCCATCCATCACTAGTGTGCAGGTCCTTACTATCTTATAAAAGTTAAGTCTGCACAAAGCTGCTGACATTGATAAAATAAGTTCTCAGCTGTTGCGTAAAGCAGCACCTGTTGTTGTGAGGTTGATTAACTTTTCCTTTTCCAGTGGATTGTTTCCAAGTCATTTGAAAACAGCTAAAGTTTCTCCTCTGCACAAGAATGGTGACTCACGTGACGTTCAGAAGTTTCAACCAATATCTGTGCTACCTGTCCTTTCTTAAGTTATCAAGAGACATGTGCATGACTATTTATACAGTTATCTAACTGAAAACAATCTGATTTATCCTTGCCAGTCTGGGTTTTTGAAAGAATCACATTACAGACACTGCTCTCATACGGATAATTGATGAATTGCTTTTTAATTTAGATAAGAATAGAGTTAGTGGCATGGTGCTGGTAAAAGTGGTTCCAGTATTATTTGGTGGACAGACACCAGCTTGTCTATTCGAGTGGTTGCATCTCAGACATGGTGCTTATGAAACATGGGGTTCCTCAGGGCAGTATACTCGGCCCCTTTTTTTTCATTTTTAATGACCTGCCACTTCATGTCAGCTCCTCAGAAATTGATCTTTAAGCAGACAATACTACAATCACATCGTCAGAAGATTGCAGCAGCATGGGAAGACCACAGGAACCTCTTAAAACATCTGTATCAGAACCTTTTAACTGGGCATTGGCCAACAAGCTTCCACTCAATGAATAAAAGACCAAGGTCTTCACATGAAGGGAAAGCAACTCCCGACCAAAATAAACAATAACCCTGAGACTACTTGCAATGGCAGTTTCTTAAGTGATGTTTTGAACATTAAGCTGCTAGATCTTGAGATTGATGGAGAGCTATCTTTCTCTGAGCATATTACAACTGTTTAAGAAAGTCACACAAAGCATCAGCCTGTTAAAGAAAATTATGAATTACCTGCCCCTTAAACAAAGATTTTTTTATTACAATGCTCTGATCAGGCCAGTAATTAATTACACAAGTGTCCTCTGGACTAATGGTGATAAGGAAAGCCTTGGGCGGGTCCTGAAGCTCCAAAAACGAGCACCTAGAGTGATCCTGAATGCCACCCTCTGGCACCATCAGTTCCCTTGTTTAATTGGCTGAAATGGTTGCCTTTTTATAAAGATGCCTAATTATCTAAATGTATCATTGCCTATAAGCAATTACAAGGTGACGTCCCTGTTCATCACCCTGCTTTTTGTCATTCCACTGGACCACATCACTCTGGATGAATTGCATCTGATATTGAGAATGACAGATATCCTGATAGAAAACTTAATTGAAGATGCATTACAGTGGGATAACAAGATGAGCTCTTCCTCTGCCAAAAAAAGATCAATAAAAAATCAGAACATGTCCAAAAACTATTGGAGACAATACACATCTATGGTGTGTCTTTTCAATATGGGAGAAGAGAAATGCAGACAGTAAGGGTAGTGGAGCCTGGAATTGGACTAGCTTCATGGGAGATAATAGGAAAAAGCTCTTAAGAGAGCTTTCCAAGAGGCTAGCCAGTTACAACTGTTAACAGAAGAACACATGCCACATGGTCATTCAATTATGGAAGGTAGGAACAATTTACACTCTACACAATTTATATGTTCATAAAGTAATCAGTTGAGATAAAATCATAATCCAAGTAATCAATTCATCCTCATCAATTATTACATCCCAATTTAATGACAAGTTGGGCAATTTGCTGTTCTGTCTTTAGGGACTTTCTAGAGCGGGAGCCCTTCTCTACAGGACTATTTCTAACACAAGTACATGTCTTCCATACCTGATTTGACAAGTGAAAGCCTCCTCTCCACTACTCCAGGAGAAGTGGAGAGAAGGCTTTCCATTATGAAACCACAACATTATATTTTTTCCTTTACATAATGAAATCGAAAATTGAGACTTATTCTTGGCCAGAAATACATAAGTCAAGAGGAAATGCAAAAACAAAATGGTGGACCACCTATTGAACCAATCACCAAAACAGCAGAGTGAAGAAAAATTATGTCTCCTTCACATGCAAATATGCTTGGTCATACTCCATCTCATTGTCATAAAGGAACACCAAAAGAGAATGAAAACGTTCTAAAGTTACAAAATGTCCTAGCCCTAGTGCATTATGGCTATCTCTAATGCAAGATGTTTTGCAGAGAAATCCACAAGAAAGACTTCCTTTCGATGCCTACAGGCCCAAAAAGCCCAAATTAGACATTGTCACTTTACCACAATGGGTGATGTCAAGAGA